ATAGAAACGGCCGGCACGTACAGCTTCGTGCTGCGTGCACGGCCGTATCGGGCAGCTCCCGGGAAGGACAGGTGCTGCGTTTGATTAGTACACAGCCCCTGTACTTCTCTATGGGAATACGCAGCCGTACACCGCCCTACGCTCACCTCAAGTGCAGGTCCGTATGGGTGCGGGTGTCCCGGCTCGGACGCAGACAGGATCCATCCTGTCAGCGTACGAGTACGGACACCCACACGGACGTGCAGGGCGGGTGAGTGTACGACCGCGTAGTGCCATAGAGAAGGACAGGGGCTGCGTACTAATCACACGCAGCACCTGTCCTTCCCGGGAGCTGCCCGATACGGCCATGCACGCAGTATACTGTATCAGTTTTGGGGTGTAAATATTGCCACATTTTGCGCATGCCAAATGAACAAGGGCTCCCACCTGCCCTCTGAAATGCAGGTGGGAGTTTTTAAGCGTCCTTTTCTGCCCCGCTAGGCAGCGCGCACGAGTGGGAAATCTGCTTGAAATGTAAACAGCTAGCGATGGCTGTTTACATACAAGTGCTCCAGCAGCTTTAGAGACGCGGTGTGTGCTCCCCCCTCTGCCGCCGCCGATCCCAGGCTCCGCTGTGCCCAGTGCGGGCCCAGGACCGGCACAGCGGCTCTGTCACTGGGAATAAGAGGGAGATCAATACACGATGATCTCTCTCTGATCTCCTCCCCGTACTCTGAATGCAGAAAGTGATGTATATCACTTCCGCATTCAGCTGTCATTCCCAGCTACAGAAGCTGGGGAGAAGCTGGGGAAGCAGATCTCTGATTCATCAGCTTCTCTGGGGGTCTTAAAGACCCCTGATGTCTCCATAAAGAGGACCTGTCATTGTAAACTGTCCATGACATAGGGGGCCTGTTAGCCCCCTATGTGATAGCAATAAAGTTAAGTGAAAAAAAAGATTAAAAAAAATTAAAATTACAAAAAAATTTAAAAACTCACATATAAAAACATTTAAAATAGCACAAGATTTTTTAAAACGTTTCCCGCCTCCACATACACATGCAAACATGCGTTGGGTGCGCCTATGTGCAAAAATGATGATTGCGCCACTCAGAGTGTGAGCAATAATTCTAGGGCCATTAACGCGTCAGTTATGGCCAATTTTGGGTATGGTAGTTTTTTTTCTGATTTTGCGGGCACACTCAATTTTAAAGCTTGACATGTTTGATATCTATTTACCTGACGTGACCCCATCTTTTATATTTGACCAAAAATGTTGGTAATAATAAATGTTTCATAACATAATGTAGGGAAAACTTATTTCTTTCACAATTTTTGGTACTTTTTTTGCTGTATAGTAAAAAATTTAAATCCAGTGGTGATTAAATACCACTAAAAGAAAGCTAAAAGTACAGCGTTGCATGACGGAATAAATGTCAGTCAAAAATACTGCAGCGCTGAATACTAAAAAATGGCCTGGACAGGTAGGGGGCTTAAACACACCGGTCATCATGTGATTAAAGAAAACAAACTTTAAGACTTTACACACTTTCTGTTTTGAGGTGCCTGGTATAGATTTAGCTGATTTAAATTGGGCTTACAGATGTTACAATAAAAATGTAAAATATGTACTGACTGTACTGTTTTTCCTAATAGATCAACTTAAACATTTCCATTTTGACCACATTTCACATCCAGAGTCTTGGGTAGCAGTAAGGACTATAAATACTCACCAAATACTAGGATATTGTAGGTACGGTGGGCTTCTCCAGCACGGTTCACCGCTCTGCACGTATATGACCCTGAATCATCTTTGCGTATCCGGTGAAAACGGATAGACTGACCAGCAGACTGAAAGCTGATCCCTGGTGCTTCAGTCAACTAGCAGAATAGAAATAAGGCAGAAAAGGTTAGTTGCTTGCAGCTACTAGAATCATAAAACCTAATCAACTACGCTAGGCCAACTACTAAAGCTGAACTCCTGGCAAACCTCTAAATATGGACCTGAACTTCACCTATGTGAACAAAAGAATTTGTAATTCTGTCCATCCATCTTTCTGATTTATACATCTCTGCCGGAACATATAGCCAGGAGAGTGACACCACTTTTTTTGTTAGAGTTTAGGAATCAAGTAGTGTCACCTTCATACTTGCAGCCTGGTGATAATGTCCAACACACTGATAAGTCATCACTTTGCTTTCACTTGAAATAATACTAGCACAATGGCTGTACAGGACACGGGAGATCACTGTGAAGCATTGTTTTACAGGATCCCTGTGGCCCTATGAGGTATAAAATATGTATATGTATACTACCAGGTGATACATTCAGACTCTTGTACTTAGTCACAAGGTTCACTCTACTCGACTCCATTGGGTTCGAACATTTAATTTCATGTGGGTGACCCCAATTTTCCAGGAAGCATACCTTTCATTTTAATACCTTTCATTGGTTCAATCTCTTGCTCCCTTTCTCTATATGGATGAATGCATGGCTGGCTGGCTATCTATGTACATGACGTCTCTTTAATGTGATAATCACTGTCCCCACAATTCCTTTACAACTTACTATTTTGTTATCTTTGAACCAAGTGACTACCGGGAAGGGCACTCCATTTACTTCACAGCCAAGGCTCAAAGGCTGATTGGCCATCAGCGAGATATTCTGCGCCTGTCCATTCTCGAGTATCCTCGGTGGTGCTAAATGAGACAATAATACAATAGGTATTTCATTCATTACACAAGATGCATACATTGACAGCTGTCATGTATGATTTTATTCCTTACCATATACCACCAGCTTAGTCTTCCTCCTTGCTGAGCCAGCTTCATTAGTAGCCAAGCATATGTAGTCTCCAGTATGATTTGGCAATGGTGATTCAATCAATAAGGAGCCATTGCCTAGCTGGGTCATTCCTGCTAAGTTACCGGTAAGAACTATGCCATTTTTTATCCAACGCACCAGTGGAGTGGGAGTACCTGTGTAAATAAACACATGAGAAAGTATTTCTAGGTTCAATATATACATCTGTGTTCTAGTTTTTGTTATCAGTCATCTTGGAAAACCAACACAGTATGCATTGCCATATCACTGCTAGGAGACAAAAAGCCAAGACCAATTCAGTCAATTCAGTACTTCGACAGAACACATCATTTAATCCCTACTGTTTAGCTTTTTGGGGATAACCCAGAGGGTAGCAAGACAGGTTTAAGGGAAAAGTACCAAAAGAAAAAGCATCGACCAGCGCCAAAAGGAACCCTCCTGTGGCCCAAAAACACAACTTCCTAAATTCCAGTACGGCTGCCCCGTTACAGATGAGATCCTGAACACTGTAAAGAAACATAAGAAAACACCGGGCGCCTGACCTGGTGCAATAATCCGTTTTATTGGTAAAACAAATTGTAAAATAATATTATACTCACAAAGAAAGCAAGGTAGAAACACCAAATGGACTGGTAGTCCTCAATAGTTAGTCTACTGTGGAGATAAATGGAGGAACAATCCAGGAGCTCAGCTAAACCACTTTCTGAACGCGTTTTGGCGTCTAGCTCGCCGAAAACACGTTCAGAAAGTGGTAACATGACTGCGGTTTAGCAGAGCTCCTGGATTGTTTCTCCATTTATCTCCAATAGTAGACTAACTATTGAGGACTACCAGTCCATTTGTTGTTTCTACCTTGCTTCCTTTGAGAGTATAATATTATTGTACACATTTTTTACCAATACAAAGGATTATTGCACCAGGTCAGGCGCCCGGTGTCTTCTTATGTTAAGTGAAAGGTAACTAAAGCAACTGTCTTAGGCCACAAGCTGACCCCCGTCCCCCCCGCCCTCCCCCCACCTTCAACCTGTTGTACTGTATATACAGTACAGTGAAGTACAGTACTCTGTTGGCATTAAGGTCCCAATCTATACATCTTTCTCAAAACCCCTTTTTTGTTAAGCCAGTGCTAGAGGGTTGCTCCCAATGACCATTTCAGGCAAAGGCCTGTTTAAAGGATGGTGATCACTGTCTTTTCCTACTAAGTGGAACTACTTGAGGTGTTCTGTACAGCCTGAAGTAGTGACCCAAGGAAGGCCTCCTGTGAAACTGTGCGAGCTACATCCAGATGGGATGGGGCAGTGAAGTTTGTCCCAAACAACACTGTGCGATAATAATTATAATGTTCCGGCCCGCTACTACCACCAAGATAAACAGCAGAAAGATGCCATAATGTACAGTATCCATGACTCACTAAAAGATCAATAAGCACCTATGATTTAATGTCACATAATCACAGCAGCCACATATTACGTTCTTGCCACTCTTAACTACAAGAAGGGACTCTATGTGGCTCTTACCTAACTGCTGTGATTAGACATGAAATAGAAAACTGCAACTTTCAGTGTGCTGTTAACTTTCATAATTATTAGACTTTGGACATCGCTATCCATTCCATCACTACAAGCATACACATAATAATTGATGGTCACATACTGTATGGAGGTCAGCTGGGATATTATTGGTATTGTTAAAGATGCTGTGTGTGAACAATGTGTGCCTGGAAGATGGGGCTCAGAAAAGTATTTATTGGCGTAGATGCAGCAAATCACATTATAGTGCAACGTTTCGGGGTCACTTAGGATCCTCTTCCTCAGGCAAGATATGTGATAAAGGTGCAAGGGAACACACATATAAATACATGACATTAAGTGATACCAGACCACATCATGTATATATATCTGTGTTCACTTGCACCTTTATCATATGTCTTGCCTGAGAAAGGGGATCCTACGTGACCCCGAAACGTTGCATTATAATGTGATTTGCTACATCTACGTCAATAAATAGACACATTTGACTTGCAACTTGGGAGTGCCGGTGTCAATATTTTTCTCTGCATATTGACGATTGCCATTCGTTGACTACCGCTGCACCCACTGAATCTACATGGAGAAAGCGGTCAGGAGTGCGACGGGTTCATGGACTGTTGTTGGAAGATGGGGCTACCCCCATATTCTAGAGTTTATTCATCAAGACTACTGTATGTGTAAATGCTCCACTTCTGGAAGACCAACCATTACCTGATGTAAGCCTTTTAAAGTCTATATTTATCAACGTTAAAGGCATCCTGCTTACATATCTTATGAGACAGAACATCTAAAGGAGATAATTGGCATATTGGTCAAACCATTGGTTACTGTATCTACTATCTACTATCCAGTATTGTCAGTGGTGTATTTTAGTTTTGTGCTGCCCTAGGCAAGACTAAACTCGGCACCTCCCTCATTCTAAAGAATACATTGCAATCCCCAGCCTGCTTCTGGGACATCCACCATCAGATCACATGCTATGGCCAGCCCCAAGCCACCCGCTGCTTCTCCTCCACCTCCTGTACAAAGCCAGCCGGACCGCAACTCACTGGGCCCTCCCCTGCACCAGGCAGCTCTCTAATTAGGCAACCGCTCTTAGGGCCTTGCGGCCACCTAGTTTGCCTCATTGAGCAGCCACAGCTGCCTGATTCTGTGCCACCCAGCCTCGGCCCACTGGGCAGTGCCCAGTATGCCCAAAGACAAGTCTGGCCCCCTCATTGGTTTGGGGCTGTGTTTTCTGCTGCCCCCCTGGAAAGTGCCGCCCTAGGCAAGTGCCTAGTTTGCCTTGCGGTAGATACACCCCTGAGTATTGTCATGAAAGCAGGGTTTTCGTTTTTATTCTTTACCAGACAAAAGTGCTCCTACATAAAGTGTCTGAAAGGAAAGTGCTTGGGTTCCCCTAGGCAACCAACTAGATGCTTACTTACATTTAAGGGAGAAGCTGATTGGTTTTTTGAGGCAACACAGGGACTTTTTGACAATTTTATACATGATGCCCCAGTGATGCATAATGCTCAGTGTTTGGTTTGCTGTATTTATAACACCTCGTAAAGGAAATTGTAATTTGACACATACTAACCAATCAGAATGAAAATGAGTTAGATTTCTTTCATCCTATTCAGCACTAAAAGGCTGCAACATATTGAACAAACACTCACCTTGCACAGGGCATGCCAGGGTAACAGGCTCATAGGCCGTCTGTTCCAAGAGAACATCAGAGTTGTCTTTGAAGTTTGGTGGCTCTGGAAAAGATACACATATTATTATTATTATTATACAGGATTTATATAGCGCCAACAGTTTGCGCAGTGGTTTACAATATAAGGAAGACATTACAATCACAATACAATTCAAGACAAGATGGTAAGGCGCTGCCCCTGGGGGCTTACAATCTGCATGTAAACGTGCATAAACACATGTCAATACGCATAAACAAGCAACATTTAAAGCATCTAGAAGCATAAACACAGCATCTATATTAGAACCATATCAGCTGTTACTAAATTAAAGAATAATTGTATTGGTAAATGTATAATTAATGCTCAGTGCTTACCAAGCACCTCCAGCCTAAATTCCAGTGAATCTTCTCCAGCACTGCTAGCAGCGACACATCGGTAATTCCCGGAATCAGAGAGTTGGACCTCCATGACACTGATACTGCCATCGGGCCCTTGCAAAGAATCCTGGTCTCCCACCCTCAAGGCCACACCATCTTTATACCAACTAAGACCTGGTGTTGGGTCTCCATGAGCTACACAGGGCAGAACCACTGAGCGTCCTAGAAGGGTCTTTAAGACTTTTGGTCCCGGGTGAACACGTGGAGGAACTGTAACCAAAGAACATGAAGAATCATATCAGAGTCATTCTATTGCCCAGTGCACCTAAAAAGGTATTCAAACCACATTTGCAATATCATTTATGTATGTATGTCGTTTTAAAAATTAACATCCCTAAGATCCTATTTAGCCTTAGAGGGTTAATCTAGCAAAATTTGTGACTGTGCGTATTCTCAATTACTACCCTTGTAGATAAAGCTATATGAATTCACAGTGCAGAATCATGTGACCATGGACTCCAGACCCTTTCACATGGCTAAAGATTCTGTTGTATTTACATCATTTTAAAATGTGCTTAAAACTGTACTGTGTATATAGTAGGGAATGGTTAAAATACACCCTTTTGCTTTTTTTGTTTTGCTGTCTGTGTCCAGTGGAAGGGGGGGGGGGGGGATTTCCCTTCACTTCCTCTCCTGATACACAACAGGTAGTGAGAAGAAGTCTCTCCAAACGTGAGGGACAATTCCCTCTTAGATACCTGTTACCAAAACTGTAATCTCCATTGGAAGATTTCTCCATGCACTGTTATCATGTTCACCAGATCAATTAGAAAGGGGGAATTTCCCCAGCAGGGATAACTACAGACAACAACAAAAACATGACAGAGGTTTTAACTCTTCTCTACTCTGCTAGAATAATTATTATACTCCTGTCTGTTCCCCTATTGGAAGGATTTCCTCTAACCAGCTGTTCTCTGTGACATCTGTCCAGTGGACAGGAAGTGAGAAAAATGGGGACCCAGACAGCAGCAAAAAGCTGCCATATTTCTAAACTTATCCAAAACTGAAACAGCTTTGGCTGGGCTTGGTCTTGACGATCTGAACCTTCCTAACCCTATGGACACATTCTTCATAAATGTTGTCCTTACATGGGCAGCCTATAAAATCGGGACCTTTGGTTGACAAGCGATCCAACAACTTGGTATAGGATGACATACACTCAGATGCCAATAATTACTCATACATAAACATGTCTAATGGCTGTATTGCTAGAAAAGGCTGAAACAATTAATTGCTGAGCTGATATCATGTGAAGAATAAAATGTTGTGGTTAGGTGCCTGAAAACAATGGACTCGGTTACATTTATCAGCCTTTCTAGCACCTGCTCTCTTTGTCTGGGCCGGCAACTCAATGCCGTCACCATCTTCCTCTGATTTGCGCAGACAGTGTCGGCGGGAAGCTGTACTTTGTTATGGAAGTATTCCCCCAGGAGAGCACATCTCCTACGCTCTGATTCAGCACACAGAGCGTTAGCCAAGGTTAGACTTTAAAGTCATTAACTCTATACACTAATGCTTGTGTCAGCACAGACTGAAAATTAAGACCATTAAAAAATATACTGTGTCCTTCCTATTAACACCATGGCCAACACGTTCTATGTTTACTGGCTAGATTTGAAATATACTGGCCAGGTGACAACCTTACCACTATGACATAGTGATAGCACTAATGTTTTCGATTTTGAACATCTGACTGTTTCTGAACTTCTAGGGAGGCGATAAAGACCATTTTTGGCAGATATATGTGCTCATTATGGCACAGGTAGATGTCCCATTTTGACTGAAAATCTCCTTGTCCGATACTTTGGTATGGAGCAGAAGAAAGGGTCAAACTAACACACCTGTAGCTCTAGCTAAATGTGCCGATACACACTCCCCAAGAAGGAGAAGATTTGCTGAGCTAAATGGCTCAGGACACAATTCTGCTGTGGCTGTCCCTGTTCTCTCTTCTTTTAGCAGGAATGTTGTACATGCAAGTGACTTTGTGCTGACACGGTCAATTAAAAGAATATGGAACGCCAAAACTTTTAAATGTTTTTTTCGTTTTTGGATAAGTCCAGTTTGTTACCCTCTCTGTCCCATTTGGAAATTTCTCTTCATTTCCTGTCCTGTGGACGCAAAAGGAAGTTAGAGAAAATCTCCCCAAAAAGAGGGAGATCCGCACATGGGCAGCTGTCACTGTAACAAGCGTCTCCATTGGAAAATGTATCTATTTCTGTTCTGGTGACAACTCAAAATTTTGGATGTTAGCTCACTTTCAGTTATGGCGACAAAGATCACTATGAGGTAAAGAGAGTTGGTAATCCTATATAAAACTAAAAGAAAAAGTTTGGGCTGAAGATGCACTTTACATTTACAGCGTTTTGGTTCCTGGTTTGTTAAAATATAGATTTTTCTCTTAAAGGCCTCATTCACACGAGAAAAGGCCGGCACGTACAGCTCCGTGCTGCGTGTACGGCTGTATCGGGCAGCTCCCGGGAAGGTCAGGTGCTGCGTGTGATTAGTACGCAGCCCCCATCCTTCTCTATGGGAGTACGCAGCCGTACGCCGCCCTACGCTCACCCGCCCTGCACGTCCGTGCGGCTGTCCGTACTCATACGCTGACACGATGGATCCTGTCTGCGTCCGAGCCGGGACACCCACACCCGCACGGACCTGCATTTGGGGTGAGCGTAGGGCGGCGTATGGCTGCGTTCTCCCATAGAGAAGGACAGGGGCTGTGTACTAATCACACGCAGCACTTGTCCTTTCTGTGAGCTGCCCTATATGGCCGCGCACGCAGCACTGAGCTGTACGTGACGGCCGTTTCTAGTGTGAATGAGGCCAAACAGTGATAGTATAAAATAACACAAGACTGACTATACAAATAACCCCGCAGGCCAGAGACAATGGTCATGTAAGGAGTAAGATAAAGTTATCATAGATTGTTCTGTGCTGGATGAGGTTCCGTTCTTTGTATAGACCAAGCTGGAGTGTGTCTTTGCGTGTGTCAGCCCTTGTGGGTTGCATGCTGTTTCCTCTATCAGTCTACATAAATACAAGATATGAGTTTAACCCATGCGTATACGGAGCGAGTGGACATAGACGACAGACAGACGTGGTGGCCAGTGTCATGCAATGTTTATGTCTAAGCCTCCTGATAGAACATGTTCATGGTCTGATGACAGACTGTGAAGGAAGCGGGTAACTATGACTGTTTGTTTCAGAAGGAAGGGTGGGGGAGGATGGAGACCAGATGTTTCATAGTTTTGGTTTCAACTTGGCACTTCCATCCATTCTCAAAACATCCCATCAACTCAGCAGCGATGTGATAATTACACAGAGGGCTCTAAAGCCTTCTGCTCCGAGCTTCTGTGGAGACCCCAATGAATACTAAAATTAAAGAACACTAAGTCTCACCAAAAACTTTTCTGGAGCTGTTAAGATCTCTAAATATAAGCTATTAACAATTTTGTTTCAATTTTTTTATGCTGGGAGGTTTGTAAATATGCAGTTTAGCTGCTCTCCTAAACTGTGCAGTCATTTATCTGTTCACACCCTACTTTAAGTTCTAGTAAATAAGCCAGCATCCCTCATAAATGAGGGGAATCAAGATTTACTGCGTCATCAAAAAAAACCCAAAACATTGTTTCAGACTGAGTAGGACCCCTTTACTGACATGACATACACACCTTGATAAAGGGGTCCTGTGCAGCCCTCAAATGCTGTTTTTTGATGACTCAGTGAACTTACATGGAGCATTGTTTTATATTTTACTAGCTACAACAGAGCAGGAAGTATGCTGAATAGACTTTTTTATATTTGCCCTGCTTTGAGATTGATAGGAAAACGGGTAATCAATACTGTGTCTGTTCCCCCACCACCACCATCATCACACTATCATTACCAATGCACAAAGCAAAGTTGACTCATTAGAACATAGCTTTTTGTCCAGTTGAGGCCTTTAGGGTTGCCACCTTTTCTTCCAGTGAAACCCGAACACTCTAGCAATGCACATCATTTTTTTTTACGAGAATGAGTGCCAGCTTATTTATATGTAAATAGCACAACCCATTAATATGTAAATATCACAGTGGAGACTATTTTCAGTGGGGGGCCAGCAGCCCCTTTCTTAATTTTTGTTGCTCCTGTCCGCCTGACATCTTCTGTCCGGGTTTCAGCTGCCATGATCATGTTCTGTGTGTCTGTGTGTTATGAAGATCTCCTGCACTTGTGTCTGTAGACCTTCTCTCTGTCACTGTGTTCTGTGTCTCTGTGTGTGAGGGAGATCTCCTGCACTTGTGTCAGTAGACTTTCTCTCTGTCACTGTGTTCTGTGTGTCTGTGAGGGAGATCCCCTGCACTTGTTGTGTCTGTAGACTTTCTCTCTGTCACTGTGTTCTGCGTGTCTCTCAGATCTCTTCCTCTGCAAGGCCAGATTTACTCTCTGCTGCTCCCAAGTCCAGGTTCCTCAATGTGCCCCCCCACCACCACCATTTTTGTAATTTACCGATGACTGTTAGAACAGATCAATTAGAAAGACACTTGCGGGAATATATGAAGACTGGAACAAACAGAACCTGGAGCAGTTGTCCATCGCAACCAATCAGCTTCTCTATTCATTTTGCTCAGGTAAGATTTGATGCTGATTGGCTGCAGTGCAAATCTGCTCCAGATTTTTTCTGCTCCAGTTTGTAGTTTCCATGTTATATTTGGATTGCTTTTGTATATTTAACATTCACCTGTTTTTGTGGCACATGTGATTGTGTGTAATGAGTACACTGGGGATGACGTGGACTGATTTAGTTGCACATCGGGGGGTTATATCAGTGTCACAGCGCGGTGTAAATCACATTATATACATATTGTCCCGCGGACAGTGCAGAGTGACTGGGAGATGTGACTACAGTTGGAGGATTGTTGTGACTGATAAAGAAATCCGTTATATTTTGTTCTGAGCAATCACTGGAGACAACATATGACTTATTTCTTTAGCAATCACAAAAATCCTCCAACTTTAGTTACATCTCCCGGTCACTCTGCACTGCCCAGGAAGGGGGTACCACTATGAATATTAATGATGCTCGTGCACGAGAGAAGCAAAGCATTATGGGAAAAAACTCCATACACTGTACACAGCAGTCTGGCAGCCATTTAAAAAAAACATGTGGAGCCTGAGAGGATAACTAAAAAAAAAAGGTAAGTTTTCGTGTTTTTAGCCAGGATCTGCATATGCCGCCATCATCTACACACTGTACAATGCTGGCATGTTTTTTTTAAATGCCCCTGCAAAAGGTGGAAATGTCCTTTAAGGGTACCAGTTATATTTGTGCACCCTTTTTGTGGTCCATTTTCTATAAATCCACTTTTAATTTCATCTGAGCTGTACTTTACTTGTCTGCTGTATGGATGCTCATGTACCTTGTACCTCCAGGCTGTATGTAAGTGATGTGTTGCCAGCCAGGTTGGAGGCCATGCAGGTATAATATCCGCTGTCCATTACCCTCACTTCAGACAGCTTCAGAGACCAGGAGGGGAGCAAGTGATGTCTGCAAGGAGAGGATAGAATTATTCATTTAATTATTTCCCACAATTGAATGTCATTGTTATTTTACATGGCTTTAAGAAGAGCCAATCACATCAGTCCTTACCCCCGAGGAGCTCATAGGCTAATATCCAAAACACAGCCATATTAGCACTCACACATTATATGGCCAATTTCTATAGAAGTGGATGACATAGCTGCTCAATATTTGCAGAAGATCAGTGTGCCACCTCCCCTATGTAGGATTAATAAGCCAGTATCAGCACCCTTCACACTAATGACAAGCAGGATATTAAAAGCTCATAGAGACCTTTTTCCATGCCTTAGTCTTACTTTTATCTCCACCTGGCAATATGTGCTAGGAAGTTTATTCTAGTACCATCATCTAATGCCACTTTGTGGTGGCATATGCAGTCCTGGCATCCCTTCCATTGGCCATATCAGAGACTGGATTCAGGGAAATACTGTAATACAACTACAATTTTCAGTTCTGCTTACATGCCAGTGGACTTAATAGCTTACTTGCTTTTCTAGACTATGCCTACCTGTAATGGAACTCACTCTTCCTGCTGCATGCTAAATTATTAAGAATAATAGAAATGGAAAATCCAATAGAGTACCCAGGAGACCCTTTGCAATAAACAAGCTCTCTCTGCTAGAGTCCCAGAAAAATCTAAAAAGCTGCTCATTGCTTTAAACTGCCAGCATCTACCCAAGATTTAATGGAAAGCTGTCTAAGTGAAAGCAGCAGGCTGCCACTGCTGTGTGCTAGTTATGTTCCAGTGACTCATAAAATACTGAAGCCATACATAACCAAGCAACTAGCATTTTCAAAACAGCAGCCTGTGTATTTCCCTCATGGGTGTCCTTTAAATACAGTTTTGGGTGGTCTGGCCCCTTAATGTAATTATGAGAAAGGAATAATTACTTCCCTGTATATCGTGCCACGATCTAATGACGGATTAAAATAAAAAATGCTAAGCATGTGCAAAACATTGGCTTGGACCGCCGACGAGGTGCCAGGTATAAAGTGTGACAAGATTGATAGGGAGTTTTACAGGATAATCCGCCAGCGATCCGTATTCCCCCAGCAGGAAGAGATTAGCTGGGATCCTTCCCAGAGGCATTTGTCTGCCAGATAAGATGGTTATTATACGAGCATGAATCCCAATTACACACTCCATCCAGCACTATGCCTTCCTGTGTTACATGTATAGCTCCTGCTGATCCTGTACTCTATACACTCCAGCTTTTTTATCATTTGCAGCTATTCTATTTCATCAGGAAAATCCTGATGAAGAGCAAGCATTAGCATCTCAGTACAAAACACTTAAAACAACTCTATTTAAGAATGAGAGTTTAAATGCTGTAATCATTTTTCATTGATAGTCCAGCGACAGTCATACCTGGCAGAGACAATGGGCAGTGGCAAAGAGTCCTTCCTCCAGGAGACGGTGGGCAGAGGCACCCCTTGGACATCACATTGCAATGTAATCTCCGCCCCCAGCGCAGCCACCACTGGTATTGGGGTGCTTGAGTCATGTGACCCATTCACACTTATTTTGGGCTTTGCTGAATGAAAGAAAAAGAGTAGAGGGTTATGTGCAGAAGTCTCTAAAAGGCTGGCAGGGAAATCTTCTGGTGGGAATTGGTAAGGACTAAGTTCATCAAAAACTGAGCATAAGTAGTGCGTAAGGGTATCTTCGGTACAGGCAGTCCCCGGGTTAAGAACAAGATAGGGACTGTAGGTTTGTTCTTAAGTTGAATTTGTATGTAAGTTGGAACAGGTACACTTTTTAAATGCAACTGCAGCCAAAAATCTTTTTTTTGTTTTGGATAGCATAGGGAAGGGTTAACCCCCTGTAAAGTTTGTTTTGCTGTGTGTGCCCCTGTTCAGAAGATTTTACCTCACTTTCTGTCCCTGTGACAATTGGATTTTGAAAATTGGAAACAAGGATTGGTGATAAAGCTTCAGTGGAGACACCTTTTTCCCATGATAACTCTTACAGGAGTGAACTTCACCTTCCTAGGGGTGGATTTCCTCTCACTTCCTGTTGTCTCAAGGACAGAAAGTGAGATTAAGTGAGTATAATTCTTTCTAATGAGGATACAGACAGCAGTAAACACCTCACAGTGACCCGGAAGAAGAGGCGGGCACCCCTCGTCTGCATGTCTAACAAGAGTCAACTTCCTGTAAAGTACATACAGAACTTCCTACCAGAACCAAAAAGGCGGGCACTCCTCGTCGGCACGAGCATGGTTGCATTAAAGCTACCCCTGCTGTACAGTAATAGCCTCTGTTTGTAAGTAGTGGTCGGATGTAAGTCGGATGTTTGTAACTCGGGGACTGCCTGTATATCTAAAGACAAAACATTTTTTATATTTTGGATAGGGTAGGGCAGAGCTAAAACTGCTGTCATTTTTATTTTTGCCACCTGAGTCTCATTAGGCATATTTTACTTCACCTCCTATGTTGTAGACTCAACAGGAAGTTATAACAGGAGGATATAATTTTAATGCAAGGGAATTCCCCTCTTAGACAGAAACCGGAAATAATTGTCACCATTGAAAGCTTTTCCCTCATTTTTGTTCTGGTGGCAACTCAATATTATGGATTTACCCTCACTTTCATTCCTGGTGACATTGGTGATCAAGATAATTAATAGAGAGTAAATCTTCCTAACCGGAACACATACAGCAATACAAAACCTGGCTATACAAGAATGAAAGGACCAAAAGCTTTACTGGTATCTGGAGTGATCATACAAATTACCCTTCAGGATCCTTCCAATTTTTTAAAGTACACACTCTGCACAACAGTACCATGCCCTGATGAAGGGGGACCCTTTGAACCCCCAAAACATATTGGCTTTTTGATAGAAGAATCTGAATAAAATCAAATGTGGACTATATACATTTTGCTTTTGTCACTTTCCTCTTTGGACACCGTCGGCCACAACTCCTGGCAGAGCTGCCTAAGGAGAATCATTCCCTCTACAAGACTAAGAACACCTAGCGCTTTAAGAGATCCACTGCCCCATGCCTTTATTCTACTCATTGAAGAATAAAAACCTAACACACTCTAATCCCTCACTTCTCAAGCCATTAAATGTATACTTTAATCACATATTTTGATGGAAAGCAAGAGTTTTGATATTACTTACTATGTACTAAGAGATGGGACACTTTGCTTGTGGTTCCCACCTTGTTTGCTGCAGTACAGGTGTAATACCCAGAGTCAACACTGGAGGGCAGTGCAATCAGAAGGCTGCCATCTTTGTTTAGCTGATAATGGCTGCCATCAACCATTAGCATTTCTTCTCCCTGAGAGGTCAGATTATACATTAGAATGGCAAGAAAAGAATAAAGAATGCAAACCATCTTTTACTAGTTTTCTGTCTGCCAAGTGATTACCTTTGCCCAGGTCACAGTAGGTTGAGGGTATCCTTTGGCATTACACAGTAATGTTACAGGCCTCCCGTCTCGCGTGGTGTATTCTGTAGGTCCGAGTGCAATTGAGGGAATCACTGGAAATAAGTAATACCCGGTTAATATGTACTTAAAGGAAAACTCTAGTTGCAGTTGTGTGATGCAAATTGTGAAAGACAGATGGTCTGCCTTTCTATAGGATGCAGATATTGGTCTGAGGGAGAGGCAGGAAAGGTTGTCTAAGGTCAGATATCCGCCAATTATGCTCATTTGGGCATAAAGACATGCAATGGGATCTGGGCTTGTGAGTCTATGCTGCAGTGGCAGCCAAATAGAGTATACCAATGTGGAGAGGACAGTCTGTGAAGGAACAGACAAGTCCCCAAGGCAGAGGGCCAGAACAGTGGTGCTGTAAAGAAAAGACAGAAGGCTGAATATCTGTTTTTGGCAGAGAACTGCTGAAAAACCTCTGCAAGGGTAACTCCCTTTGTGTTACATGTTTTCTTCTAAATAAAAGTGGGCAAGGAGCCCATAAAGCTGCTTTGCAACCTGCCTTGCAGTTCGGTGAGTGTTTACATTTCAAAAAAACCTTATCTTTGTATAAAGATTGCCATATTTCCTCATTACATGTGCTCAATAATTTGCTTCACCACTCCTCCTCTCTATAAGTGGCTCAATAAAAGCAAGCAAAGCTGCCCATTTTCAGCATTGACTGTGGTTATCGAGCCAGTCCTCCTCTCCTTTTGAGTAGTGACATGTCCCTTATTAAGTCAGAGGTGCTTATTATTAAGGATTAGATCCTGATCTTCAAACTTCTATGTAAAGATGTGAATGATCAGAAGTGCCAAATATCTGCTGCTGTCAGCACAGGGCAAGTGCTGCAAAGGGCCCTAACACTGGAGCATGCAGATATCTTCCCATCCATCATTCTTCAGTTGATATCTATCATCCTTGACCAGTAAAAGTCTGGCTTATTGTAATTATCTGCTCCCACCTGGATGACCTGGATATATGAGAACCTTTACAGATATAATACAAGGAATGTTTTAGTGTCTGCTCTGAAACAGATAAAACATTAGCAGCTTATGAAATTGAATAGGTGCTACAGTATATAACGTAGGTCTGAACAAATCCCAGTTGCCAGGTAGCCAATGCTCCTTAAAATTTAATTTTAATAAACTTGTGAGGTTTTCTCTAGTTGTCAGTGGAGCTGGCTCCTAAAAAAAAAAATCTTGCTGGCTTCCGGATTGGACAGGCTGTCTCTGGAATTGCCTATTCATTTGTCCACTCCTGATATGTGTGGTTCGGGTAGCTACAACTAGTATGTTCCATCTCTAAGCACAAAAATTGCTTTATATTTACTGCACGATTATTAATTGAATTTCCATAGAGGTGCTCACCATGGACATTGAGAAGAATGCTTTGATTTGTAGATCCAGCAGCATTGGACAGCTCACACACATACTCCCCAGCATCCTCTCTCATGGCTGGTTCTATGTGCAGCCCACCTGCTCCATCAATGGAATGACGCCAAATAAACTGCAGCTGACAAGTGAAGAAAACAAGATGCACGCAGACATGTGTAAATAATTTAGATGTAAATGAGGACTGCTAGTATGTACGTGGTATTCAGATACAGGAAAAAGCAGAAGATAACAGCACACTTACAGATACCAGCAGTGGCCTGACTGTCTGTAGATAGCTTTACTTTATAATGCTGACATTTTCTTTATCAGACTAGCAATCGATTATTATAATCATAATGTGCACCAGAGGCACAATCTCACAATGCTGTTAAATGACGTATGCTCTAAAGTTGGCTTGTAAATATCAAGTATTGTATGCTTTGTCGTATATGTATATAAACAGAAAAACCATTGAAAAAACATAGTTTAACACCCGTGCTCTTGATTTTAAAGTCAGCTCACCTGAGAAAAAAACATACAACTTATTCAAGTGTCTATGGGAACATTCCCACCTCTGAGTTTGTGTGTTTAAAATAACCTGCATTCTACATTGTAGCTACTTTTTCTAAGAAAACACATATTTCAAAGGGTTGAATGGTAATGCATGTTAAACGTGTTTGAAGCACAGCAAAAAGCTAAAAAGTAGAAATCAAACAAAATTAAACTTACAGTATAGTTATGATGTACCGGCTTATGTGTTTGTTAATGGTCTTGAGAAATAAGCAGCTGGAAAAATGATGGTAACTGCTCTACCCTATGTCCTTTAGACCCTAAAAAAGTGTCTAAAGGACATACTCCTTAAATCAAGCAAAGAGCTGAGTTTTCTGAAGAAGAGATAGTGCCCCAAAAAGCATCAGTGGGGAATCCTTTGACTATCTGGTGCACAGGGAAGGTCCTTCCGAAAAGAACAGAGTGATACAGAGAGGAACTGAGGTGCCCTCTATGATCAAATTTGAAAGAGTAGAGCGGCTACTATTGTACTCCTGAAGACCATTGGCAACGCCCTGTACTTCCTATCTCCTTTTTAAATTAAGTTCTTTGTATTGTTGTTGTACAACTTTGATATTTCCCTTGGATACAATAATACAGTCTGCAATTATTATATTTCCATTACCAATGAGCATGGACATCTGATGCCTTGGAGACAAGTTACAATTGGGTGCTTTGACTTTAAAAAAATCACCTCTCATGCAGACGTGTTAATGTAGCTTAAGAATACAAATTTTTTCCTGTATGCACCTTTAGCTGTGATCTAAGCTTCTTCTGTGTGTTCTGAATCTAGGAATTCTTAGCAAGTCAACCAAAATGTGATAACCAAGTCAAAACTCCAGCAGGCTTACTCAGGACCCCACACAGCGCTGCCAAGCATGGGCGTCTCTGCTGGCCATAGTTTAAGTTAACGTGGGATGCTGTGGCTATGGAGCTCAAGTTGATGTTTGGCTACTTTAAGTGCCCAAGTTTATGGGTTCTGGTCTCAGAGGAGAAGCTTTGAACACAGCCAAACCTACGTGTAGGCACATTTGTGTGTCGGGTGTATTTTAAAGAAAACCTGTCACCTAGTCATTAAAAGCAAAATACTCGACCCAGCAAGCAATCTTCAATGCTAAATTACACCATTACCATTTTTGTCCATGATTCATGCTGAAGTGCCCACTCCTATGCAAATACTGACTCTTCTAGATGAGAAGAGGGGACAATTGGAATCATAAAATAACTCAGGCAGTTTAGTCACTTGTGTGTGTTTTACCAAGTTGAAAGTAAAAGTATACTTTCAACCTCACATCATGTAGCAGGTAGGTAGAGCTGTATGTACACCTTTATCTAACAGTTAACTTACTGGTCCTGAGTCTTTCACCCAGCGCTGTACTGGCAGGGGGTTTCCTGCTATGACTGGACAGGGTAGTGACACAGAATTTCCTTCAAGGACATCTATTTCCGATGGTGCCTCACCCACTTGCGGAGCCACTGGAATGGAAATGAATTATGACTGACCATTGCAGCTATATTTATCAAAGTGTGCCACATACATACATGGAGTATGACCCTTACCAATTCCTGTAACTGTTAGGAGGATTTCGGCTTGTACCCAGCCAAATGGATTCCGGGCCTCACACACATACACTCCCGTGTCCTCTGGCTTTGCAACTTTTGAAAAAGAATGTTAACAAAGATGCGTTTATTCAATTATACAGATAAACATTCATAATCTGATAATGGTAATAAACTGATTCATGCACCAGATTAGCAATCTGCAGTATATTATTTCTTGGCATTGGGCTGTCACTGACAAAAACAAGAACCTCCTAACACTTAACAATCTGAACAAATAACACATAGTCATCTCCTAAAAAGAGCTCTTCACTCCTAACCTACACCTAACACATTACTTTAACCCAACCTGAAAGATTAACTACAGCGAAAAACAATTTTTACTTTTATTTATTTTTTTGATAGTACTGTTTTGCTTTCCGTGAAACTGTTCAGAAGATTTACTCACTTCCTGTTGTTGTGACATCAACACAATCAAGACATTAGGACAAGAAATGAGGGGGACAGATGTAATTAAAAGAAGACACAAAGAAAAAAAATAATGCTATACAGCAGGTCTGGTGAAATCCCAAGAGCCAGGTAGCCAATGTCCCTTAGAAAATACAGTTGTTGCCTAACTTTGAGGTTTTCTATAGTTATTGTCAATAGAGCTGGCTTCTAAAAATATCCTGCTGGCTCCTAGATTGAACAGACTGGCTCCCAAATTCCAGATTAATTTGTTCATCCCTCCTTTAAAGGGTATCCAGGTATACAAACCCCCAAATAATTAATATATTGCAGCTAGCCTGTCCTTAGATGAGGTAGCTGTATTAGTTTCCTTTTTTAGGTTTTTTTCTCTGAATACTCACTGTACTATATCTATGGAGGATCAATGCAGCGCTGTCACCCTAGGCTGCTCTCCTGATATATACTATGGACACCCCCACCCCCACACCTCCATGGCATAGAAAGGTGTTGCTTCGTGGTTCACGGAAGATGGCTGTTTGAAACTTCAGCACAGGAATTTACATGGATACTGGAATTGTGGCAGGTATTTTTCTGTACTTGCAGAAAATGTACTTAGCCTCTAATAAAAAAAAAAAGAAACACAAAAAACACAAAAAGGACTAAGGTGCAATATATTACATATTTGTTCTTGGGATTAGATATACTTTAAACATTACGATTAAGCCTCAGGGTGGCGTGCCAGTGTATGGGCAGAATTTCTTTTTTTTTTTACTGCCTTCATCCACATTGGATGAAATATATTACTAGAGAGAATACTGAAGTGGAAATGTTTTTGGTTGCTGTGGACACCTGCCTATGTTTGCCCTTCATTAAGTGTTATTAAATAAGTAGGGGAGTCTAATTCATCAAAGGCGGAACTAGTGAATTTATTTGCACTGCTTCAGCATCCTGTGTGATTGCCTTACTTCTCATGTGGACGGTGTTTGACCCAAGGCCATCTATGATCTCTGTAGTTCCAGATGGGACCACTGGACCCTCATCTTGGCGAGACCAGGACACTGTCGGCATGGGGCTGCCTTCAGCACTGCAGATGAGCTTTACACTTTCTCCAACATCCACTTCTACGTCCGATGGAAAGTCTACAAACTGAGGAGGAACTGGAGGGAAACAAAGACAAGGGTAAACAAATATAAGCAAGCATGGAAAGGCATCCACAGTGACATGACCATCTAAACTGGTAATTCAATTAATTACATATTATTGATAAGAATACAAAAAATATTATTTTATTGGTTAGTTAGATGCCACATGTTTACACTACATGCTTAAATTCACTTAAAGCTTATAACTTAGTTCTGAGTAGACAGGTTTCCTTTAAAGCACAACTTCAGCCATAACATTTTATCTGGTTTTGGATAGAGCAAAGGGTTAGGTTTTTATTGCTATCCTTGTGCTTTTTGGGGGATGCTCCATAAACCTGCCACAAACCTGGGCAATTCAAACAGAGCATACATAAAGATTCTCATAAAGATATGGAATAGTAAGCTAGTTAAAATGTGGAAGTCACATCAAAATTTACATTCAGGGAAATTACAACAATAACACTAAATGCTTACTAATTGAAAGCATGCTATAGTTTTTTTTTTCTAAAGGGAATAGTGTTTTCTATGTGTTGTCTTAAAGTGACACTAAACTCAGGAGTTAAATCAGGAGTACATTAAATATTAACAAAAATGTATCTTATTTGTGTATCACTCGGTTGTAGATCCTGAAATCATCCCTGAATGGTGCTGACACTGTCCTTCCTTCTGGAGGGGGGCTACTTTTGTTCCCCGCTCCAAGCTCGCTCCCGTGATAGACTACAATCTCACTTACTAATTGAAAGCATGCTATAGTTTTTTTTTTCTAAAGGGAATAGTGTTTTCTATGTGTTGTCTTAAAGTGACACTAAACTCAGGAGTTAAATCAGGAGTACATTAAATATTAACAAAAATGTATCTTATTTGTGTATCACTCGGTTGTAGATCCTGAAATCATCCCTGAATGGTGCTGACACTGTCCTTCCTTCTGGAGGGGGGCTACTTTTGTTCTCCATGGTCCATGTGTGTGTTGTAAAGTAGTCACCACTCCAAGCTCGCTCCCGTGATAGACTACAATCTCAATACAAATTAGTGAACTAAACATGAGATTGTAGTCCATCATGGGAGCGAGCTTGGAGCGGGGAACAAAAGTAGCCCCCCTCCAGAAGGAAGGACAGTGTCAGCACCAATTCAGAGATGATTTGAGTATCTACAGCTGACAAATAAGATACATTTTTGTTAATAGTTAAGGTACTGTACATTTTTAAGGTTTAACCTCTGCGTTTAGTGTCACGGATTATGTTTAGAAAAAAATAACATTCTTTAAAATGTTTTCAAAATTCCTTTTAGTTAGATAGAATTAACTAAATATTGAATTAAAAAAAATCAGTTTGACCTTCATTTCAAAATATTTTTTCTCTGCCTATTGTATCTCCAGGACAGGAAGTGAGGGGAAAGCTCCCCCATAGAAAAAAAATCTTAACAAGGTTTTACCCATCCCCTAAACTTTTTTGCCTTTATATATACACGTTAAATGTTTTAATATCTGCCTGGAGTTCAGTTTTAATAGGCAAATGGTCGCAGCCGCAGCCACAGCCAAATATCTCGGCTTTCCAATTATGTCTGCAATACCTGTCCAGGCAAGACACACATTTAACTCCTTTAATAGTGACTTGAACAATAATTAGTGAGTAAATTACATTTAGGTCCTCAGGATTAGACAGCGGTTCTGGTTACTTTGTGTAAATCATCTATAAAGACCAGGAGGACAATTAGTAGTTACCTAGACATGAAAGCAAACATAAATGGCAGTACAAAAAGCTTTATTAGGATCCTGCAATTGTCTGCTGTGTTGTTTTCGAGTTTTCAATTGACAAATCTGGGTTCTTTACTGACAGTGGTGTGTAAAAATTGTGTGTAGTACTCTCTTCCTCTGGGAGGACACTTGTGCTGAGGGATGTGACCATTACTCAGCTAGGCCAGCATAGAGCACTGATGTAGGTAAAAGTGCATTTCCACTAAGAGAAAAGTCAAGTGTCTGCATCCACCCTCTGCCAATCCCTACACTGGCTTACACTCGCCCAGAGGATAAAATTCAAAATATTAACAGTCACCTATAAAGCCATCCACAACTCCGCCCCCGGATATATCTCAGACCTTGTCTCTAAGTATCACCCTAACCGTCCCCTCCGCTCATCCATTGACCTCCTGCTTTCCAGCTCCCTTGTCCACTCCTCCCATACTCGCCTCCAGGACTTCTCTAGAGTCTCTCCCATCCTCTGGAACTCTTTACTCCAACCTGTCCGTCTATCTCCCACCTTGACTGCCTTTAGGCGTTCCCTAAAGACTCATCTCTTCAGCGAAGCCTATCCCACCTCGACCTAACCACTGAACATTCTCAAATAATTCATTCCCACAGATACCACAGCTACCTCCTCATGTATCATTTCCCCCTTCTCTTTCAGATTGTAAGCCCTCAGGGGCAGGGCCCTCCTTACCATCTTGTCTTGAATTGTATTGTAACTGTAATGTCTTCCTTATATTGTAAAGCGCTGCGCAAACTGTTGGCGCTATATAAATACTATGTAATAATAATAATAATAAGGCCTTTTTATAAGATACTCATCATAACCTACAACAGTAGAGGACTATAAAGAGAAACTTATTTTCATGACTTCAATTGGGCTTTAGCCCATTTTGATGATACATATATCACACCCCAATATAAATATATCTGGTCCAACACATACACAATTTAATAATACCCCAATTCCTCCAAAAATACCATAGCAATTCAGAGTGTTTGAACTTGCATATGGAGCATGGGGTATATTCGCGCTAGATTTATGTTGCTAGTGTAATGTTCATTGTTCATAAATGAGATGAAATAGTCTCCAGGAAAGAAAACTCTCAACTCCAGGCAAAAAGCTTAACTGTCGCTTCTTGAAGAAGTGGTCTTGGGGACTTCTTAAGTAGCGATTGTTTTTTTAAGATGATTCTCCCATTTCAGCCAGCCACAGGAGAAGCGCAGATAAAAAACAGGGGCAAAACACGCACAAAAAACACATGCAATCGGGAAAATAGTGCAAGCTCTGGTCAAAACAGGCACACATGTTAAAAGGGGCGGCTAAACAGATTTGCTCATAAAAAAATGTTCTAAGAGGCTAAAACTGGTGCAATTGCTTTGATAAATTCCCCCCATTGTATTTGTCAGATGAACAATTTTTTTGGCAGGTCAATGTTGAAATATTTGTTGGCGCCATAATAAGACACATTTTGGTATAGTATATTTTCAGCAATAAAGTAATAAAGCCACATAATTACAGCTGTTATATTGTTATGGTTGGGGTGTTGAAGGGTTAGGTTGAGGTTTAAGATTAGATTTTAGCTTGGTGGTTAGGATTAGGTGTTATTGGGAACTCTACTGTTAAAAATAAAATTTGGATGAGCAGCTGAGGGTATATTTTTGGCATGCCTTGGTGTCAAGATGAATTAACTCCTATACAGGGCCGGATTTACTCTCTCTGCTGCCCCAATGCCAGGTTTCTCAATGCGCCCCCCTCCCCCATGGAGAATGGCAGACCTGCAGGCTGCGTACAAGTGATCTCGGTGACATCATCGGGATCACTTGTACAAAACAAGCGGTGGCTTCCCTGCTGTACATTTCGCTCTGCTTGCCAAAAGCAGGGCTAAATGTAGAAAATAACTACCCGCCTGGAACTGCATGTCCCGGGCATCGGGACATAGGAATTCCACACTCCTGCTGCCCATCTACTCCCTGCTGCCCCAATGTCGGACCTGAAGAAAATTTGGACAAAGATGTCAACGGTTGCAAGGGAGTTTGTGGACATCACATTGCTGGAAGGTAGATAAGTACAGGGGAGTTGAAGTTGAGCTTTAAAGGTAACATGTGCTTTGCCCATGCAGGTTCACTCCCTTTTGGCTCCATTCAGAGGCAAAACCTAAGGACTGTCTCACCTCCCTCATGTAAAGCACTTAGTGCCCAAGTAGCCAATCATCAGCCATCAGCACTGTCATGTGGGAGAGAGAGGAATGAGTCACATGCAACTGAAAAAAGTGGCAGAAAAGAAAAAGAAATGCCAACATTGCTGTTGGTTGGGCTGCCATTAAAGTGAACGTGCCCTGCATGTAAAAGAGCAGGTTTGCTTTAAGCTGCCCATATAAATTAGATGGTAGTTCCATTTTGACAAATGGAACAGCACACAATAGCCCCGAACAAGCATTTTCAGGGAAACATGCTTTTGGCCAGATTGGAAATCCTTGCTCAATCAATATGGTTTTCCTTCTAGACAGTAGCGTGGATGGATCCCTTCTGAGCATTATCTAGCTTATAGGAGAAACTGACTTATGGCTCTGTCCTAGTTTACTTACTATGAACATGTGCGCAATAAACATCAATGCAAAACACATATCAGTGGTAATAATGTATCTGTGTGTACTATTTATTAGCGCTAAAACTTCACTTGCCAAAAATGTTTGCACCCGTGGTCCAATATCAATGTGACCTCGATAAATATGGCTAAAGGATGAACTCATCATTCATTTCCAGATTTATCATCATTAGATATTTAACACTGTGCCACCGACTGATTCAATCTGGAGTCACCCGGACAGCTGTGTATATTTAAACTCAATCTATTAAGTGCTTCCAAGCCATGTTTTGTGCTTCATGCACCGTACTTATTTATTTTCTTCCTCTGAGACATATTTATTTATTTAATAATCTTCATAGCACACGTCTGGAATCTGAATTGTATTTTCGGTGCTTCCTGAAAACATGGTTTTAGTAGATGACTCATCCCACCAAGGAATCTTTAAGCCTTCAGCTAGCAGTTTGTGTTTTATATTGCTTGTTGATGTTTGAGTGGTGTTGGTGACATTGTGATGGTATGATGTCATTGCTCTTACTGGTGAGATGAGTGATGTAATGATGTAAGCGTTGCTTTGTACGGTTTTCCAGTCTTTTACGGACTCAAGTTTTGCAGAAGTGGATGAGTCTGCCACAGGGCTGTATCCTGATACAAAATGACGGCTTGTCTGGTATATCATTTGCCCAG